GACCCCCCCTTCCCCCCCCTTAACGAATTGAAGCGGTATTGATTAGGGGGGGCCCCCCTCCCCCGCCAAGGGACATGACATCGCAAACATAATCTCCGGGGATTATTTTAAGGTGTTTTCATGATCGTCGTGTCGTCGTCATCGCTTTCGTTCCCCGCCTTGCAAGTTGTTTAGAGCCCTTTGAGGTCTGGTTTTTGCAACTACTGGACCGTCTCTCCAAGACCAGATGTGTCATTCATGTTTTGCTTGATGTGTTGCGCCCCACCAACCTTGACATGTTGGGTTTTCTCAACCATGGCAGGCCATGGTGGGCAAGACTGGAACTTCGGTGGACGCCCATTTGGCCGAATGTGTAGCAGTCCAATTGCCTTTGAGGGCCGGGCATTCAGACATGTTTCATTGCTTCGATGGTGTGGGGCGAGACGTCCTTCGGCACAGAGGAGCTGCTAATGCTGCGGGGTCGAACTCGTCCTCGTCTTCCGACGGCAGAGCTGCCGGTAGTGTTCCGGCGCCTCTTTCGGTGCTAGACTCTTGGACACAGATTGTTCGAGCACAGCGCAAACTCTTGCGGCGAGGGCAGGGGCGCTTTTTCCTCCACAAGAGCTATCAGCACCATGGGTTCAAAACCAAGCCCTGCGTGCATGGCCCAGGCCCAACCCGCTACATAGTGCATGCTGGCCAATATTTGCGTCAGTCCTTGAAGCATTTTTCGGTGGCTTGTAGGCTGAAGTTGTACTTTTCCATGTTTCTTCCCATACCAGGTTTCAAGAACTAGGCTTGGCGCCAGACATGGCCCATGTATATCCCAGTCTTCTCGAATGGAAAAGTTTTGGCATGCCAGGAGTCACTGAGCTAAGGTGCGACACAGGGCCTTGCAGCACTACAGAGAGCATTTGCGCAACAGGGTGTCACAACCTGCTCCACAGCTTGCCCGGCACATCCCTGTAGCATGCCTGCTTTTTGGAACACAATGTTTTTGTTTTTCGATGCGGCGTGGGGTGGGTCGATGAGTCGGCGAGTCCAACTTTAACCAAGACAGATGGTAATCCTATTTAGTGGTCATTTTTTATCCCCTGCCGCTGCCTTCAGTTCGGAAGCTTAGCACGCAGGAACAAGAGACCTTGGCGGAGTTGGGTCGAGAGGTGGCCCGCGCCGCAAAAAGGCCGAGAACAGCTGCAGCCCCTGCGCCCAGCACAACCAAGAGGCGAAGGAAGGTAGAGCGACTTTGTGCTTCACAAGTGCAGCTACGCAGTGTGGTTGGGGTTGCTTTGTCCGTGGACGCTTTGGACTCCAAAGGTGGCTTTTTTAAAGCCGCGCTGCAAGTGCAGAAGAGCGCTGCCGTGTACATGGAGCAAAGGATTGTCAACCAAGGAGTGGCTAGCACATTGGCCGCTCAGATCGAGAGCTCCCTTGCTTTGGAACAGACAATCGGGGTGTTGCAAAATTTAGTGTCTTTTGTGGGCCCCACTGAGGATGCACTGCGGCTCTCTGATTGGTTTGCCTTCTACTTGGCTTGCCGCTTGATGGGAAAACGTAACATGTGCATCATGTGCTTTTTGTTGCTTTTCCTGTGTCGCCCTTCGTGTTCTGCGATTATTGCCGCGCCGTTTAAAACTATTTCCGCATTCTTTTCTTCGACCTTCAGCATGCAGGTGTCAGTCGCTTCAGCAAATGGTGGCTCCCCACTTTGTGTCGGCTGCCGGAGGTGATGTTGAAGCAGACCTTCCAAGCCGTGCCTTTGTCTTCTCTGGATCCTGGGAAGGACTTGCGCAACGCGACCGCCGATTGCCGCGAGTTGTGCAAGCGCATGGCTCAGAGTTTTGAAGCCCGAGTGCTTCACAACACTGCTTGGCTAATTCCATCGAAAGTTCTTGAGGGCATGGACTGCTGCTTTGACTTCCCTGTGTTCCTTGCCGGTGAAGGTGTCACGGGGGTTGCGCGGGAGGAGGCTTTCTTGACTGTGGCGACTTATTGCCAGCGTCGCTGGCCTTGGACAATTTCCGTGAAGCACCCGACACACCTCCGACGACAATATGCAAATTTCATGGCGTGTTTCTTCTCCGCATCTCGAAAGCACGCAGGCAAGCTTTGGAAAGAGAGCAAATTTCAATGGTGCGAGCTGTGGCGGCTGGCGCATATTGATAAAGATTTCTTTGGCCCTGGCACCAGAGACGCCTTTTTCGTTTTCCATGCCTGCGGTTCCATCCTGTCTTCGGAGGCGTTTTGTGAGTCCCTGGCTTCGCAGCTGAAGCGCTTCACCAAGAGTGGAATACGTGCAGGGCGTGCTGTTGAAAAGTGCCTCCTGAGTGAGAACGAAGGGGCAGTGACGAGTGCGCCGTTTCTCCTCAGGGCATGGGCTGAGACTTCAACCTCGTTCCGCTGTGTGCGGGAAAGGCGACGGGAACGGAGTTTCCCTCTTGGCGGAGGGTCTAAGACCATCCATAACACTTTGCAGCGCAGACGAGGTGCCTGGACCTTTGAGAAGGTCCGCAGCTTGTCGCGGCTCTCGACCTTCAAAAGAAGGTGTGTGAGGGCTTGGGAGCGAACAGCTTCTAAGAAGCTACAGCGGTACGGCTAGAGGGTGTGTGAAAAGGGAAGTTTTGGGCGCTGGCTCTTGTCTGTGTCAAAGGCAAACGGAAGGGTAGTGCACACAGAAAGGGTTTTGCAAAAACCTGTTCTACAAATATCATGGAAGGCCCGGGACATTCATAGAACCCAGGGCTAGTCGTGGACAGTTTGTGGAATGGTGGGCCAGTAGGAGAACTGACTGCAGCGAAATCCCAGAAACCTTCGCAGAACTTCGTTGAAGGTATTTTGATGCACATTTGTACAAGCGATTTTTGCTGACCCCCTTTCCCCACACACCCTCCATTTAGCCTTCATCTGTGGCTTAGGGTTCCTCAACGGCATGAAAGAAATAGTTGCAACGCCATGTCACACTGCAGCTACCGCGAGTGGAGAAGAGACCAAGTCTTTGAGATATGTCCCGTGATCCAAAAATAGGGAATGGCTGGGCTACTTCCTATTGCTGTTGTAGTGAATGCTAAGACAGGTTCAAGAGCTTTCCATCATCTTTGTTGGAAGACCCAAACTCAATGTCGTTGTCAGTCTCTCTGTGGACCCAGCCAGGTATCGCACCTTCGCATGCCACAGCTGAGCGTGGCTCTTTGCCCATCACGCGGCTGTTGCTGGAGTTTGGTGTGGAGCAGGATTCCAGTAGTGCAGCAGGTGAAGTGCCCTTGCACTTCGCAGCTTCGGAGGCTGCGCATGCCATAAGCAGGTACACTATAACAGGTCCAGCAGGTGCCCATGATAAATAAGTTGACTGGAAGCATGATGTATGCCTCCAGATGTTTTTCGGGTTCTCCATATTTTTCAGATCTTGTTGGATAGACATGTTGTGTGAGTGCATGTGTTTGTCACGAACTCTATGTGTTTAATATTTATTATGTATGTCTTGCGTGCGCTGTGCATACTTGTATGTGTGCATTTGCAGACACATCTACACAATATATTACATATATATATATAAGTTTGTATTTTGTTGATGCGTACGGATCATTGTTACACACATATTTGTGTGGGGAATCGCCTTCGCTCTTTCTACCAAATTGGTTTTTGGCATGTGGCGATTGAACACCTTCGCAAGAGAAAACTCCACACCCATTCTGGCTTGATATTTCCTTAAGGCGTGATAGTTCTCTTGCGTGTAGCCTCCAGCCGACCAAGGATATGCTCCTGCCAGTGGAAATAAGCGCTCTTTAGAGTTTTTGATGTCAATTTGAAGGAACCTAGGCGCCCTGTCTATTTCCACAAAACCATGTCCAAAAGGACACCCATGTTCCGGATGCCATGTACCAGGTTTGGTCTCCGGCGGATGCGAAGATAGCGCAGCTTGAGTTACTCCAGGTACTGATTGCCCTAGTGACGGTTCCTGCGGTTTCGGGGGCGTAGAGGTGTTTGGTACATAGACAATACAAGCGTTCGGCTAGTGAAGATCTTGAACGGATGAGCAGTTTAATCCATCGTTACTCTTTTCCTTGGAATGCTGGATTTACTGGGAGTGGGTGCCTGAATGGCATCGCTCCCATGGTTTTTCATGCGCTCTCGCACACTTCCCGGTTTTGTTATGGTTCCTCCCGTTGCGAGCGGTTGTTCGCTTGGGAGAAATGCTGCGAATGCGTTGGGGTGAAATGCCTTGGGATCGAATCTGGTTGCGATTTCATCCTGGTGTCTAGGGATGGTGCAACCAGGGAGGAGGTCCTGAGGAGTCAGGACGTACCAACGCAATATCCCTAGGGCGGGGTTGTACCATAACACGGAAGTGAATGTGTGAGAGCGAAGAACAAAAAGTGAGCGTTGGAGTAGCACTCACTGGGAGACTTATGATGACAATATAACCCAGACACTCCATGTATGGCATATTTGTATACATTGGGGTGGTTTCAGGGGTCAATGTAGGCATATACCATACATGGAGTGTATGGAATTGAAAAGCCATTGGAGCGCCTCGTGTGGGGAAATAAAGCTCCAGGAAGTCCAACTGTCCTGTTGTAACAGCACCACCCAAAGGGTGGTTTATAGATCTCCCTGACATTCCCTGACTATATGCGTTTACTACCCAATAGCCATCCTTTAGGTGGTGTTTGTGCTGGTAGTCAGTTGTAGTTCCGTAAAATCATTTGTTATTTAGATCGTTTAGATCTCATCATTGGAAGACGTAATCTGGCCGTTTCTTGTACTAGACGATACTTGACGTAATGTGTTGGACAGCTCCAGGAGTTCCAAAAGGGCGTGGTGTTTGGATGTGTTTTTGCGTTTTGTCCCCAAGTGAGTGGGATCATGAACACCCCATACCACTAATATAGCCAATATGCACTAATCGCCAGCGCTTTGGAACCCCTGGTTGATCCATTTGGGGTCTATTCGAGCTCGTTCTTCAATGGGTGAATGAGCCTGGTGATCGCTGTGAAGATTGGTCGACCCGGCAACACTGGCAGGCTGGGCATTGAGAAGAACCCACTTATTCAATGTGCCAAGCGACTCGGAGATCAGGAGGAGCTCATGCTGGAGGCGTGGGAAGCGCTGACATGATCTGAACATCACGTGTCTTTGTGGATCCTTTCTAGACAATTACAAACAGTTGCTAGCTGCTACACTTTGTAGTTGTTGAAGAGAACCTCAAACAGTCAAAAAAGAATCCTTTGAACACATATATTTGTATATATGACGACCTTAAAAAACTATTCTTTTTCAACAGGCTCATGAATGATGTCGATTTCTCGAGTTTTGCCTGCGACGATTCGCAGTTCACCGATTCATTCCAGCGACGGTTCCGGGAGAAGGGACTCTGCAGAGTCCAGGAGTTCCTTTTGTGTTACTACTAGGAACAAGAACGCTACTAGGGGCTCCTGGCATCGTTACTAGGAGCAAGGACCTTACTATTGGAACTAAACCTTGCTTCACATCCGAACTGAGGATGTTATATAATATGGTCATATACTACCAGTAGTACACTCCAGCGTTTGCTTCCCCAGCGGCTTGTCCTTTACTCGATGTACGAGTGCCGATGCATTCAGAGTACTTCCTCTCTTCCTCTATTCCTCTCCGTCGTCGCTGAGTGCCTTCGCTGAAACGGGAACCGATGTGACAGGTACCCGATCTGAGCCTCAGAAGGGCAGATCCTGGCGCGGAAGAGATGAAAAACCAGCGATCTCGTGCGCCTGAGACGGGACCAAGTGGAGACAGAGGAGAGATGGGGCGTGAGGGGATGGTGCGTGTTCCTTATTTTTCTTTGCGCCGGGTTGTTCGACGAGTCCAGGTATCGGGTGCACACCCCACTTCACACATGGCAAACTCGTAAGTTTCGGCTTGTTGGCAAGAGGTTGGACGTAGGGAACATGTCTTTCAGCTAGCTCAAGATGTGTGGGGTGAATGATGACGACTTCCAGCCCTGCTAGGAACAAGTGCATCGCTACTAGGAACAAGGTGTCTTACTAGTAACATTTAAAAGGCTATTAGGCACAACAGAAATCTCAAGAAATCGAACCGACGACAGGTGTTCCGTTGGTCATCCTGGAGAATCGAAGCAACCCCACACACGGGGGCTGCTTTCTTTCAGTGGTAACACAATAATTGGGTGTAAACACCGCCGGGTTGCTTCGCTGCCGTTTGGTGGATCTGAGAATTGAGAATTGCACGGAACATGGCCTCCAAAAACGGGAAAACTGCACGTCTCCAAGAACAGGTGGAGTTTGAGCAGATCATGCTCGCCGTCAAAAGCACATCAGTTGGCCACGCGGATCTTGAACGAAAGTGCTGCTGCGTTCGGCATGGATATGCGACCTAAGTCACATGTTGGAGGAAAAATGATGAAAAATGGATGTTGGATGTGTGCTTAGTTGAATGGTTGTATGGGTGGTCACCGGCAGGAGGGATTTGTTCTTGTTCGACCTCAGTCGAAGCTTTGCGCGGAATTTGCACTTTGAATTCGCTTCGTTTTGTCAAAACCATGCCGATGATCATCGAGGAGATGGACGAGGACTGGGTCAGCATCACCAATATGCCAATGGGTGGCGGGTAGCTGTAAGTGTAAGACTCCTACTTTGCTTGGTTTGTTATTAATAATATAAATAAATAAATATATATATATATATAATATATATATACTGGTTAAAGGGGGGTGTTCATAGTTGACTCATGTCCATGCAGGGGCAGTTGCCGATCAGTAACCCGCAGAAAACACAGAGTCTGAGGAATTCAGATGTGGAATTCCTAAATCAGTACAGTACATGTGTTTAGGATGTTACATTATGTTGCATTCAGAATCAGTACATATTTGCTTCATGTGTACCAGCACCACCCAGTGCGGGTGGTTTTGTTGGATTCAATCGAATTCCTTGACTTCCAAAAACCCAGGAGCCCATGAGCACGGCCTTTGCCTTCCATTATCTAGCTGATGCCCAGCAGGGGCGGCTCAGATGTTCGGAGACAGCCTTTGGCAGGGTATTGTCAATTGATGCAGATTTGTTTTTCCCCACGCGTCAGGTGAGTTTTTTTTAGACATTATGGCCTTCCTCCGCCTCCGCCTCCTCCGCCTCCGCCTCCTCCGCCTCCTCCTCGTCCAGACCTCAACCGCAAGTTGTGCTTGGCAGCGTTCCCCGCGAGACCTCAACCGCCAGCTCCAGATCACAAACACACGAACACAAACGCATCCACAAACACAATGACAATCACACGACAACCACAAACACAAACACATCCACAAACACACACTCACAACACACACACACAATCACAAACACAACCACAAAAATGACCCCAACACACAACCACAACACACAACCAGAGCACACAACCCGAGGACCTACAAGCAAAATTCAGAACCAAAAAACTCACGACCATGGCAACATGTTTCTTACCACGGCGTGAAGACAAATGATTAAAATGTCGCAAAGTAACTGATGTTTTTGATTTTTTTTTTGTGGTCCTGTTGCTGGAACTCTGCTGCTTTTGCTGCCCGGATTTGATTGTCCAGATGGGTCTTGCGGTAGTGGCTTTAAAGCTTCTCAGCGTGGCTTTGAACACTACAGGTTTGCCTTTGAGGGGCTCTTACTCTTTAAGAACGGGCGCTCTTGCTGGTCGTAGACGATGTCGCAGGGACTTTTTTGTTTTTTCCACAAGATTGGTTGCTTCAGTTGCCTCGCAGTCTCCTGCTGTCGGCAGCGAATGTACTTAAGGGTTGCTTTTTTGCGATGTCTCCGTCTCCGTCCTGGGCACTGGTGGGTTGGGCGTTGAAAAACCGGGTCGTGCTGTTGAACGAGGAATGTCTAAAGCCGTCGTACCCTTGAGGCGCCAGACTGGTGTAACTTGAACGACAAAAGAACTGCGACATACTGTCACTGTAGAATCTTGGGGCCTTGGCAGAACGCAAAGCACCACGTGCTGTAGGGATGGGAACCCTGCTTTGAAATCTGCTTTTGAATTTTGTGCGATGAGACGCCAGTGGCAATCGTTCAGCACAAAGGCATACCTACGTAGGTTGACCTTTGTGACACGTGCAAGCACAAAGGCTGGTGAACTTGAGTGTATTTGTCCTGTTTGGAGTGCTCTCCACTGGTGCTCTCCACTCGGTATGTGCAGCGGCATGTGTCCATATGCAGCGTGCAGCGAAACAATGAAACACGCCGGCAATCTATCCTTACCATATACGTAGTTATAGTACCATGTGCAATCATGTGCAATCTGATTTGGTCCATATGATTCCTGGCGCATTAAATTGAATACAATGAACCTCTGATATCCAGATTCACCAACCGTCAAGGCACCTGCAAAATCCTGCAAACAAAAGAGACGAAAACTGCCGCTGGGCAACGCATCAAATCCTACGAATCAGTTCTCCGAAGCATCAAATCCTTTGAAGTTCCGAGCTCCCAAAGACCCCGTTCCTCGTCAGAACTTGACCGTGTTTGGTTGCCGAGTTCAGCTGCCGCCCTCTGTGAGGTTCAGCTCCTTTCAGAACCCCGAGATACAGCCCTTCTTTGAGAAGTGGGGTTTTGGCGCTGACATGGAGACTCAGCTGTGGGGAGTGATTTCAGAAGATGTTGTTTTCTGGAAGAGCGTTAACATGGACCATGACCAGTATAGTGGGGATTGGGATACCAAAATGATCAAAATGGTGGTCAAAAGTTGTTGTTACCTGTTCCGAGATGTTCAAGAATGTTCAACAAAGATATGTTTTTGGGTGATCAGATGATCAGATGATATTTGATATCAGATGTTGTCCATATTAACTTTTGGCTACAGCGGAATACCGGTTTAGGGCCAATCAGCTTGTGGGATAGGTTTTTTCTATCCAAGAGTCCAAGAGATCCGAGGTTTCGAGCGATAGGGCCGCGATGTGTCGCTGCAGATTCGTGGCGCGAAAAACCTTTCCTTTGGCCATTTTGGTTGCTAGACTTCTCAATACGTACTTCTCAAGGATTCTCAAGGAGAATCATCAGGGTGTTTTTTGTATTGGCCCGCTCTGTTTAAGGCCATGTGCACCTTCAGGGTCGAGCAAAAGGCAGGATGAGTTTGGTGCAGAGGGTTAATTGAGACTGGATCGAACCAGTACGAACCCCTCATCCATCCTGGTCGGGTTCGCGATGTCTGGTTTTGCCCCAAAACCAGCGACGATCCGACCCTGGTGGATGACCCTGGATCCACGCCCCACGTCTCCGACCGGGTACGTGATCGCAGAATCGGATCGCCATGTGCCATGGATCTTCCTCCCAAGTGGAGTCTTTGCACCAGAATTTGCTCCTTGGACCAGTTTGCATGGGTGTCCATAACATGGTTGCCCCTTCATCACTCCAAATATAACCTGCTTGGTCAGTTTGGTAGGTTGAGACCCTCAGAATTGTGCAAAAAACATGAACAAACACTCCTGGACCATCCAATGGGTGTCCACTCGTAATCCATAAGGTTCCATAAGTAGTGTAGTTGCATCATACTATGCAATAATATATATATATGCAAATTTATGTGCGAACATGAATCTTCCACAAACGCAAGCTGTATCAATGTTCAACATCTGAACAATTCTGAACAAACCGCAAAAACGGCCTCCAAAAGAGGTGCCATGTAAGTCTGGCATTGTCTACAATGCTTGCACCCAGCCGGGCCAACTGCTGACCATCGTGGCCGCCGTTAGAGCGAGATCCACTGAGCCTGAAACAGCCCGGTCACTCGCAGGGACGCAGGACAGCTCACGTTCGCAGGTGACGTCTGAGAGTTTCCAAGAGATGCTGGATGCCTTCTTCAAAGACAGGCCATGTTTTTTTGCTGTGGGGGTTGCCGTAGAGGCAGGTAGGTAGGTAGGTAGGTAGGTATAGCTAGTAGAAGAGGTAGCTACCAGTAACTGTAGTAGCTTACTTAAGCTACCAGTATGGACACGGGACAGCTCACGCTTCTTCAAGGAAGCTCCCCCCGCCACCCTAAAGGCGGCGGGCTAAGCTTCCTTGAGGAAGTGCTCGCACTAATGATTTGGTTTCTAGATTTTTAGGGAAACTTAAGCTAACTTAGGTAAGGGAGCCGAACTCCGAACTCAGTTTGTTTCAGTTTCAGCCTGCTGCAGCCCATGGTGGGGATTCATACCGTTGACTTCCAAAGGAGTCGTGGGCCACTTCATTGCTCCAAGCCGCTTCTGTCCAGGGAGGTCTTGTCCGTCTTGCATGCGAGCACCGGCGTCCGAGTGTGACACTCCCAGATGGGCAGATGGTGCTGTGTCGCATGGATGTGGAGTTGGTCCTGGGCTCAAAAAGTGTGAAGGTTGAAAAAAAGTGTGTGTGTGTGTGTCTATATATATATATCGATATAGAGACTGGGTGCACGAGTGAGATTGTACAGGCAAAATCTCCTCTTATTGCTGTTTGTCTCAACACCAAGTGCGTACAGGCAACGTCTCCCGAATGTTTGCTTTGCATTCTGAACCCTGAATTGATTTTTTGCTGTTCGGCCTTGGCGTTTCAATCCTGTCATCGGCCCCCTTCGATCTATACCGGTCTCCCTTCAGCATCTCGGAGCAGTCCGACGTCCGAGGATCAGCCCATCCAAAGTGGCCGTCCAATGGCAGCCGATGAGCACCAAGGCCTCGGTTTGCAGGTCGAACCTGCACCTGATACAT